ATGTTGTGGTTTACAGAAGGAGGTGCAAGAAAGGTTATTGAAGATGCAAAGATACTCCTTGATAATCCAGATTCAAGTGCTAAGAAACGCAAACTTGGGAACCAAAAAAGAAACACTGCCAAAAAAAGCTAGATAGAATGTCAGCAGCACATTTGGCAGTAGAATCGATAGATTCAGAAGTACAAGAATGTCAGGCCAAGTTTAAGGCTGCAAAAAAACAAAGCCAAAGAAAGTTATTCACTGATGATTATAAAAGGAAAAAGGTACTATTGGACGGTGCCTACACTGAGCTAAAAAGAGCTCAAGAGGCAACTGTCAAGAGCATCGATGTACAAAGGCAACAGATTAATTCTTACCTCGAGTCTTCTAAGGAGGACTCAGATCAAGGTTTTACATATTATGCCAGCATTATTTTCAGGATTAAATGTAAGGCAAAAGAATCAAGCATTTTACTGGAATAATAGTGACAAAAAAGTTCGGCTGGCGGTCAGCGGAATGTTACTATACATTGTGGCCTTAACTTCAAAGAGAGGTTTGAAAGTGAGCTTCTTCATATAGTAAGGTTTTGCTAATTCAGTCTTCTTCCGTTGATTGCGAGGTACTTTTCTTAAGTAATATATCACTTATTTCATGATAACCGATCAAACCAAAGAAATGGAGGATAATATACATCCATGTGCTAAAATACAAGTGTTAATGAGAAAATAGTACCATTCCTGCAAGCACAGTGTGTGATTTTTCTAAAATATTGTGAGTGAAAAATTTCAGCATAAAGTGGTACACACTAATTCAAAACCATCAGTGATCACATATAGTTTCATAATGGATAATTATTGTTTCAGTTACTGCACTGTACAGCCAGAGAAAGGAAAAGATAACTTCACCTAATGACAATTTGTAAGAAGTACGATGATTTTAGCGGCAAAAGGGTGGTGTTTCCTGAAAGTATTGTTGTTTTTCATAATGGATTTCTGACTGTAAATTGGTAGCGATTGAGGTCATCATTTAAGGGATAAAAACAAGTTCTGATCAGTCAATATGTTATGCTACACGCCAGCTTTATTTTGCGTGAATGCATATTTTATACGTTTTGCATATGTTGTGGTCGTTTATAATTAGATGCGAATGACTGACTCTGTTATATTAATTAGAACCAAACAAAGACAACATAACCCTTGAGTTGTTACCGTTAGAAATAGAATTAAACATAATTAAGTAATTCATTTCTGATGTTAATTTTTGTAATGTCTTTTTTAGGAACAGATAATGTGTCAAAATTTGATGTTTTAATATACATTTTATAGAAACCATAACTGATGAATACATTTTCAGACCCCTCACAAAGTATGCATGAATTTTTCTGTTAACCCTACAGAAAAATACTCCTGTTTTAAGGGACCCCTGCAATAATCTCATCCATAGCAGGGGGAGGGGGGGTGGGTGGATACTACCAACCTTAAGTTACGATGGACGGGAACATAGAGGACGCCAACCGGAAGAAAAAGATGACTGATTTGGAGCTAATTTGAATATATCGCTGACCAAGACGTAAACAAGGACAAGATTAAGACGATGAAGAAGTCAAGTTCCTGATACAAGCTGGACCCCTTCTTAGACGAAGACGGAGTTTTCTGAGTTGGCGGGCCATTAGGAAAATCCAGCATTCCCTACAATGTAAAACATCCCGTCATTCTACCAAAGAAAGGACAAGTAACGAACCCTACCCCTTGGCCACTATCACCAGTCAGTCAAGCATCAAGGTATCACTCACAATAAAATCAGATCAAGTGGCTACTGGATTGTTGGTGGAAGTTCTGTAGTGTCTAATCACATCTCCAAATGTGTCCTGTCGGAAGCTGAGAGGCGGTCCTCAAGAACAGAAGTTGGCAAACTTACCGGATGATCATCTAGAACCAGCTCTGCCTTTTACATTCTGTGCTGTGGATTATTGTGGTCCCTCGCATATCAAAGAAGGCTGTTGTGAAGTGAAGCGTTATGGGGTAGTGTTTACACGTTTAGCGTCCAGTGCCGTCCACCTTGAGGTCACAAGCAGTCTTTCTACTGACTCATTTCTCAATGCCTATCATCGATTTGTAGGAGACCAAGGCACAAATTTTGTTGGTGCAAGGAATGAGCTGCGACAGGCATTATCAATGTTGGAACACGAGAAGATACGGCAAGAAGAACTGACTGGGTGGATTTTAAGATGAATGTTACTGAAGCAAGTCACATGGGTTGGGCCAGGGAACAACAAATCCGTACAGTCAAAAATGTGTTAGCATCACTTCTCGCAGCATGCTGCCCAACTTGATGATGAAACACTCAGAACCTTTATGGTGGAGGCTGAAGCCATCGTGAATTGACACCCATTGACCGTTGACACGATAAATTCTCCACAGATGCCTGAGCCACTGACACCCAGCCATCTACTCCCATGAAATCTTAAGTGACACTGTCCCCACCTGGTGAATTTCAACGTGCTGATCTGTACTCCAGAAAACGATGGCGGAGAGTCCAGTTCCTGGTCAATGAGTTTTGGGTGAGGTGGAGAAAGGACTGCTTACAGTCTCTTCCGCCAAGACAGAGGTGGGTAGCAACGCGAAGAAACCTGCGGGTGGGTGACATAGTCATTATTAAGGATGACAACCTACCACGAAATTCCTAGAAGCTCGTGCTTGTAGAGGAAACGTATCCTGACGATGATGGTCTTGTAAGGAAAGTTTGTCTCAAGATTGCTGACCAGAATTTGGACAAGAACGGCTGACCTACTGGACCAGCAACCAACTTGTGTAGACCTGTGCAGAAACTGATATTGCTGTTGTCTCGCAAGGAGTATGAAGACCGGGGAATCCCCACCTGAGGAGCCATGATAGGGAACTGTATGGGCTTACGCCCTACATAAGAGATGGTGATTTGAGAAGTTGAACTCTAATGTTTTGATTTAGTTTTAATTTTCCTTTGTTATTTCATTAGTTGGGTAAATTTCTATCGTAATCCAAGGGAGCCATGTAACGTAGGCTATTTTCGGTTGTGATTGCGTGATCTACATCATAGTTATTTAAAATTAATACTCCTTTCTTTTGAGTGACATTTCAAGAGTGATCGGTGTCATCTTTCATTCGGACCATGAGCTAGAGACACACAGAGATTGTAAAAGAAAGATAGATCCAGGATCGTGAAAAATACTTGAGTTGTATACCAGGAAAGAGTTATGTCTTAAATTTATTGTGTCTTTATATTTAGATCACGAAATGTCTTATTGTTATTGATTTTAAGCAGATTTGTTACGCTTAAGAAGATTTGTATTGTTTAGATTTATCTGTAAGCACGCCCCATGTGCTCAAGTTAAGATCGTTTCAATTTGTTTAGATTTTATAGTAATAGCTTTATTTTCGCTCATAGTATTTCAGTTTTTACGAGATTTCAAGTTAAATAAAGGACTTTATAGATCGATAGATACTTCGAGTTTCCGTATTGAACACAAAACATTTCTCCGATGCTGCGTTATTAACTTAAGACAGACATTCCAGTATGATGTCAACGCATGCCCCGTTACACTAAATGTTGTAAGTTTGATGTTATATATAGATGAAATCAGCTAATGCTTCAGCAAAGGGCACTTGATATTCCAGCCCTTAACAAAACCATAGTCTTGATCCAAATATTTCAAATGAGCTTGCCAATGTCTTTTTGGGAATGGGACTTTAAGATATGGTCACTACGGACTACAAACTACTTCTAGACGTCAAAGTCTCAGCCACGCATGGACTGGGCCAACTACACTAAAAGGGGCCAAAAATTGGACTTTTGTTTGATGCTAAGATCGTGACGACGGAGACTTAGACCATGGCTCCACTTGAAAAAGAAAATTTCTTTCAAAGATGTTTGACACTCCCTTTTAATCACTTATGCCAATGATTTTCTCCATGATGAACAGTCTATTATTCTTTACAACTATTACCAATCTGCTAATCCTCCATTTCTGCGCTGGAATTTTGATCCATTCTGTTTGGATGTGTACGACTCCTGCGAGTGCGAAGCCCACTTCAGGGTGGCCAAGGATTATTGAAAGCATTGCAGATTCTGGCGAGTTTCTCATGCCCACAGGGAACAGTTTGCAGTGGCTTAGAAGGACTTTGTTTACTGATAAAACGATCAACATACCCATGCTGCTATTTTGATTTAAGTTCAACTTTTGGACGTCTGGTGCCAGAACTGTGATGATAGCTAACACTGTACTTGACTGGGTTTTTAATAAACATGGGTTTCGTTTAACCACTTGGAATCAGCCATTCCTCACCCTTGCTTGCAAGCGTGTTCATGTGCTTAAATGTCAATCTGCAGCACTGCCAAATTGTTTGATAGAAAATCGTTATGGTCCGATAAGGGTGCACAACATGATGCAAGGATGCTCAAAGACTCTGGCCTGCTGCAAACGCTTGAAAGATAAGCTTACAGTCCAAGGGGGGAGGTCGTATGTCTCTATGGGGACCCAACTTACCCACTTCATCCTCATTTACTGGTCCATTACCGAATAGGGGAGGTCCCAGTATTTACAGCCGATATGGAAGCATTTTATGCAGCAATGAGTTCTGTTAAAGCTTCGGCAGAATGGCTATTTGGCGATATCTCCAACTCCTTCAAGTTCATAGATTTTAAGAAAAATTTAAAGTGCTACTACGATCAAATTGTCACATACCTTTATTTTTAGCCCGATAGGTAGCTACCTACCTGAAGTATAAGTTGACCAAGTTTCATTTTTATACGATGAAGGGAAATGCTTTTTTTCCACACTCAAAGTCAATTAATTTTCGTCCGCCATTAAATCGCCATGTTCCTGCGGCCTGGATACCAACGAGCACTCAGAGTTCGCGGGAAAAATACAAGTGACGTCCGGTAACTCTCAGCCGATTTCTCTCAACTTCCACACCTTTTTTTTGATGCACTGTTAACGTTTTCGCAAGTTAACACTGAATTAAAAGCAAGTATTCAATCAATTGATGGTGGGAAGTCGCTGTGTCATACAGGGCTGTGACAACCGCTCTAATAGAGCGGCTGGAGTTGCCTTGCACAGCCCTACAGAAAAAACAAGAGATGTGTGGCTCCGTTTTGTGAGGACCAAAAGGAAGAATTTCAACCAAAAGCGAGGGACCAGATTTGTGATATGTTCTGTTCATTTTGAGGAGTCTTGTTTTACACGGCCCTTCCACCCAAGCCAACGTCGACAAGTTTGGCATGGGTCGTTGCCAAGTATATGGAAAAGAAGCGAGCACAAAACATCCCGTGAGTAGGAAAGAAATCGGCGTATGAGGGAGAAAGAAGGGTCCGGATAATCTGCAAGCCAGGCATGTGAGCCATCGGAAAATATAAATTTTTAATGATATTCTAATTGGAAATAGTTCGTTTTGTAATTGGTTTTGCTGCTGCAAATGTGCTTTCAATCGCGAATATTAAACCGCGATGGTTCACGCGGTGGCCATGTTATTTTGGACGCGAACAGTCTGGGTTGAGGGAGAGCGACAAATTTTGACTTTCTCTCCCTTCTCTGATAGTCTTTCCTGTTTCATTCTTGCGAACCGTTCAGCGTGCTCGTGGCCGGATCTTCAAAAAATATTCAATCCTTTTGGACAATCCAGTTCAGTCGAATCAATCTAGCAATAAACTGCTTCTAAAAGTGAGTATTTACCTGATTTACCTTTGCTTTAGTCTGTTGTCAGCTGTTTTGTGCAATGAATTATTCATCATTGCTAATGTTTTATGTATTTTATTTAGTTCGCAGATGGCAAATCGACGCACGCAGTGTCTCGTTGAAGCAACGAGGCGTGGTTTCACGCCAAACATTGATTCTGGTGTTAAAACCTTAACCGTCTTTTCTTGAAGTTTTTTAAAAGTGGCATACCACGTAATCAAGAGAAAAGATTTAGAAATGTGTTAGAAACGTTTTGCGCGTTTTAAAAATGATACGGTTTCATCGTTCGTGTAGATAGGTTTTCAGATGGCTTGCGTGGCTCGCTGCCATGGCTTGCATGGCTCGCATGGCTCGCTTGTATGACTCACATGGCTCGCTGGCTCGCACTCTATCCAAACTCGAGAAAGAACGGCAGAAGGTAAGCGCGCGAAATGTGTGTGCTGTTGTTTTAGCTTTTGCATTTCCCAGTACTTTGATCAACAGTCATACAAACTGTAGTAACTACACATCTGTTTTTAATGTACTTGTGAGTTCCATTACTACGAGGCAAGCAAAAATACAAACAACAATTCTTTTCTTTAGAACATTTCCTAACTATCGCAGTATACAAAACAAGATTAAGATTCACGTTTACCGCAAACGGCAAACGTCAGGCTCATGTTCAGAATTTCTCAGAATAGAAAAAGAAGATGCAAACATTCCAGAACGATTCATATGGTTAAAACTGGCACAAAACTACTTATTTTTGTGTAGAAGCAATAAAGAGTAAACGGAAAATAAGGGGAAAACTTGGGCAAGTGGTACAAATTCACGTTTGGCGTAAACGTCGATCAATTTCTCAGTTCACACCTCGATCAAAGGCGTATAGCACTTGATCGGACACGTGAGAGAAAGTCACTCATACTTTACTATCACTCAGCTTTCGTGCAGGTGCAGGTGTTCTTTGTCATTTTTAAAGCGAATACATCTTTCTCCTTATGAATATTTATTAGTCTAAACCTATGTGCCACGGAACTTAAAAGAATACATCGCGTGACAAATTCATCATCAAGCAATCGCTGGCCATTCCCGAAAATGCTTGGTTAAGCAAGTAAACTCAATTCAATATTTAAAGTCTTTCGACGGGAGTTTCTTTAAAATGTTACGTTTGAATCTTTAAGGTTCTGAATGAATTGTTGGAAAAAGCCAGATCAGATGCACAAAGCAGGAAGAATACCATGGACACAGAAATAGTAAGTAAAATTAAGTTGAGTGAATAATTTTAGAAATACTACAAATGTAGCTCTTTCCTGCGTTTTAAACAGTATTTTTTTAAGCTTATATTTTTTAATTCAGGAGGTTGTGTCAGATTCTCCAGCGCTAAACAACACTTTTCTTGAGGCAGCTACAGTAACAATCTCTAATGTGGAAGGTAATTTAGCTACTTGTGAAAATAACCCTATTACACTAGTTGGAGTATCCAGGCGATCTGGGGGGGGGGGTAACTCCCGATTTCAACTGACAGGGATGATTGAAGGATTTTTTTGGGTCTGAAATTGTCGATTTAGTGGTTTTTGGTTTGGAAAATTTTGCTAAGTGTTTTTTTTGGGGGTAGCTTGGCAGAGGTACAATCTTAAGATCGACATGGCATTTCTGACTCGGAAAATTTCTCGGCCCTAAGAAACTTGTGCCTTTGGTGCTAGTTCCAAAGCTGCCTACTATTCATTATCAGCCTGCTACTTAAAACTTTTTGACAGCCCCGACTGTGTATTCATTGGGAACATGTTCATTTTGCAGATACTGCAATGCCATTTGAAAATACAGACATTGACAATGCTACAATGCAGTACGACCAAGGAAATTTTTCTTCTATGGTAATACCATCTGGAAATATGGCTGATGCAGAAGTGCAACCTGAGCATACAAACTGGGTAAATGACGCCGAACAGTCTGAAGGTCTAGATGAATGTGTAGACGAAACAACTTCTGGGGCTTTAGATGTTGTCAACATAGAGCAAATATCTGGAAACTTGATTTCGGGTAAGGTGTCTACTAAAACCAAAGAGGAGGAGGTAGTCGTGGATGATGCTGGTAGTAATGAAAGCCTTGAAGACTCACCAGTCAACTGATAAGGTATATCCTTAATAGTACTTCAAAACAAAAGGGAGCTAAGAATTATTGGTTTATTAATACATTAATGATCTAGAACATTTCTTAAGGTTCAGTTACATGCATAAAATAATTTTGTTAGACAGTGGTGTTTCATTTTGTGCAATTTTGGTTTTCTACTTGGGTTTGAAATTGAATCCATCTCAATCCTGTATATCGATAAACATTTATCAACCCTTACTAACGTAGAGAAATTGTTTTTGTGTGAATGAATACTCTATTTCAGCCCCCATTAACACCTAGTACTTGTTCAAGTTGTGCTTCTTTAAGACAACAGAAGAAAAAACTGCAGAGGCAACTTAGGGGACTAGAATCAAAACTGGAAACCAACCAGACCAAAAGGGAGGAGACCTTCGAAAGATTAAGCAAGAATAAGACAGATCTGGTTTCCACAGGTTTGTGTTTCAATCTTCAATGCAGTGAGGCAACTATAAATAATTTGCCACAATCATAATCCCTGGTACACAGTGCATATAGTTATTAAATGAACATGCTCATAAAAGGCTTTGTTCTGTATAATAGCCTTCAATGCTAATTTAATTTTTTTTGCACTAAATCCATTCAGAGTCTCAAACAGAAGACGTAACTGTAATGAATGACAATGAGGTGAACTTAAATGAAGATAGTTTTGAAGAATACATCAATATTGATGAGGAATCAATTGAGCAGGGACAAAAGGGTCAGGAAACAGATGACGAAGGAGACCAAGACTGGACACCACAGGAAGCTGAAAGTGCCTATGAACAAGCAGGGGATGATGACTGTAAACAAGGGCCAAATCCAAAGTATCTGTACTATTTCTGTTATTTGTATTATTTTCACTGTCATTGTCATTACATTCACAGTATTAAGCATGCAAGGTGGTATTAACAACTTATGGACCTCAAGGACTCTGAAGGATTCTTGATCCTCTTAGCTTTTTTTTTTGGGCTGGACCCAGATATTAAGGTCAGACTCTCTTTAAGTTAGATGTACAGGTTTTAAATTAATCATACCACAAGAATCCATTGTCATCCAATTTTCCGGAGCAGAAATGTACATATCTACTAGTGAAATTATTTTTTCTTGTCGCTGAACTTTTTTTTTCAGGCTGAATTGTGAGGGTAAAAACTTTCGAGAAGAGCCAAAGGAGATAGTGTTTCTGTCTAAATTACTTCTTCTGTTTCAAACTTGCCACTGGTGCTTTGCCAGCAACCCAGCACTATCACTATCACAGTCTGGAACAATGTTAACTATTAGGTCGACCTGCAGCCAATGAAAGAAAGTATTTACATGGAACAGCCAGCCATTTATGCTTGGAAAGTTCCCAGCAGGAAATTTGCTGCTAACTTTTGCCATTCTTTGTTCTGGGACATCCATAAACAAGATCTTACTTGTGTTCCGGCACATGGGTGTCCTTGTTTACCATTATCCAACATACTTCTATCATCAAAGACATTTGCTGGTTCCTTCAATTGTAAAGTATTGGCGAGGCTACCAGGCCGACTTACTTGCAAAACTAACGGGAAAGGAAGCGGTGATTGCTGGGGATGGCAGACATGATAGCATGGGCCATCCCGCAAAATATGGAACATACACCATATTCTGTTGTACCATTGGCTATATTATCCATATCGTGCTAGTACAGGTATTAATGTTGTTAAGTAAGAAGCTTCACCTCACACAACCAAACCATGTAACATATTTAAATGTTCACTCCTAATTTTATTCTTTCACAGGGCTTTGATTTGTTCCTGTTGCACACTTGTATTGCTTTCTGAGCATACCTACCACAGCAATTTTTATTTCACATTTTAATTGGTGTTTTGTTTATAATCTTATCACTCCCTAGGCGAACCAAACTGGAAACAGTTCAGCTATGGAGTTCACCGGCCACCAAAAGGCATTTGCATTCGTTCTTGGTACAGCCATGATAATCAAAGCCTTCATTTCTGATCGACACACCCAAATTGCAAAGTGGATGAAAGATGAATACCCCCAAAAATGCAGAGAACTTGGAAAACCTGTGATAGATCATTTCTTTGACCTTTGGCATATAAGGAAGAGTGAGTTAATACAGGCTGCATAAACTAAAAGAGCTGCTCATGAGACAAATAACAATGGCATGAAAATACCTTTGTACCTTGTATGTTTTGTTTTCCCAATTCAGAACGTGATAGTACCCCAGAGAACTGTTTCTTTCAAATGTTGTCATAGGCACGTGCATTTGTAAGTATAATTAATGAAAAGACAAAAGCCAAATTCCCTAGAGAATATCAGGTGGTCTGAATTGGGAAAAGAAAACAAACAAGCTAAAAAGGTTTATTAAAACATTTCCTGCAAATTTAGGCCTCAAGAATAGCTAGCACCATTCAAATATATCATCTGATGTACGGTAATGTTGCATTATAGAACTGGTCATATAACAAGTAACCTACTCTATCATAGTTAGTATGCTCTGTTGTGTGAACTACATCGCAACAGTTTTTATGTGTGTAGGAATATTCAATCGTATCTCTGTGAGGTAAGGTACTATCTACCATAATACTAGTCCTTTCCTCTTACTGTCATGAGGAGATCCAAAAACTACTCACTAAGCTGAGCAAAGAGAAAGGAATGGAGACAATTAGTCCATGGGCCAGGACCCCAAATTTGATGATTTGGTACCAAAAAGAGGGACAAAGAGTGGCTTATATTTTTAAAAAACTATGACTCCTCTAGTTTATTTTAATGTATGATAACCACGTCAAATGAGTAGTTTTATAGGGTTTATCACGTGATGAAGTGACGTCACTCAGCTTTCAACAATGTCGAATAAATGTACATACATGAGTTTTTACTCATGTTTTGGGCACGTCTAGATGATTAAATGGTACCACTGTTTTGCAACATGCCAATTTTGTCCCCTAAAGTGCCCAAAAACGATCAAAACTGAAAGGAACATGCAAAATCCTAATATTCAAGCTGTGAAAGAAGCTGCTCTTAAAGATGTAAACTAAAACACCATAGATGCAAACTCTTCCGTTTTGCGACAGATTTCTCCATATCCCTGGCAAAAGTACCAGTACTAATTGTGGTTTTTCTGTGAAGTCATGCTTTTTGGACATCCGAGGCTGACATGCAAAACGTTATAATTCCTCTTACAATGACCACTTGTTTTTTATGTATTTTGGGTGTTCATTTGGCAAGTCATATGTTTAAATGTAGCAACGACTAGCAATGACTATATTCTTCTGTGGTCAATAAATCCACACACATTTTACTTATCATGTCGACAGCCAAAGGAAATAATGCTGAAAAACAGAATCAGACCACATATTCTAGTCCTCGTCAGCATCGACTTCTACTGTGACAGCTTGTTTTTCTCTCCTGTTGTCACAATTGGAGAGCCGGCACTTGTCTGTGCACTTAAGACCATTCACAAGGCAGCTATAGTTCGGGAGCCTATACAAGATTTGGTGCAAAAACAAGAAAGTAGCTGTAAAACTGTTGCGGGAGCTGGCTGACCACTCATCCAATCAATCCCTAACTTGTTCTCATCCTGAATCCAGCCATGTCTTAAGGGGCTCGGAATTTCAGGGAAGTTCTCAATTCTTCACCTCCACATTCCTGTTTGCTAGTTTGCTCGACACGCATGTTTATACAGGAAATCAGCGCAAGGCAGTAGTTGGTCGGACTCGATGCTACATCTCTTTGAACAGAACAATCTATATCTTAGCTCATTGATGCTGTTTGTCCCTGGGCAGGAACTGTACATACGACAGGTGAAATTCTAAAGCATCTGGAATAGATTATCTGAGAATTCCCATTCCCCTCCTAAGAGGTCAAACATTTCCTGAAAGTATATCTGTTCTTTGACAATTCAAAGTGCACCAATCTTACCACATCCAGCAAAAGCACTTACTGTGTCGCAACCAGCATAAACGTGCATGCCAAGGAGACTGCTGCACAAATTTTGACCTATGGCTTGCACAATACTCGTGATGCTGATGTATCTAACTCTTGTTTGTGTTCCACACTTGAAAACTATTGAAGACGGAATTAAGTACTTGAATGACACTCAAAGAATAAAGACATCTGTATCTTCTAATACCACAATCAAGGTGCTGTAATCTGATCTGGCTGCGTGAGAGAAATGAAAGAAGGCGCACTAAAACCCACAAAAGGTTTTTCCTTCGGGTATTTTCTAATGCTTCCTGGCAATTTACTTCAACATATGTTCTTGGCTTAGGGCCTTGACGCTCACCTGCATACTCAAGCTGGGAATAAGAAATACCATTACCATAGCGGTTTAGTATAGACACTAGCTCTACATCGTTTGTGAGAGTTTTTACAGCATATCACAGAAGAATTTGTTTAGGTGGCTTAATCCTCCCTCTGGTTACTCCAAATACCAGGTCTTGCGCGAACGACTTCATCAACCGCTGGACTCTTTGAGAAGATTATCTCTAACGAATATTTGCTGCCAGTCAGCAAGGTATGCAAAAACGCACTGTCATTGAGCTCTGAAGGGCGCGGTGGCCATGACATTTTGCTTTCTTTGTTTAGAATAGCATCGCGGATGTCAGCCGCAGCTTTCTGAATATTGGAGATCTTCATTGTTGAACCTTTGGTTTCTTTTTCTGCCATAAGAATATTTAGTACATTTCTGGCGATTTGCACTGGCGTTAGGCTAGCAGGGATTAGGAATACACAGTTGCTATTTAGCAAGCTTTCAAACTTGATCAATTCACTGAATTCTGCTTCTATGTTCCTTTTTATATGCTTCTTTGTTGATGGCTTACATTCCTTAGCCCCTAATGACATTAGATACTCTATAAGTAACTGGGTCATCTCAAGCGGCCTTACGTTTTTCTAATTTTCTATCACATCTGATCTTATAAAGTCAAAAAGCATCTAGACGGGCATATTCATCATCCGAAGATTCACTGCTCATATCAGGGTTCACACTGCTGCTTGGTTCTGGTCTAGTGCAGCTCCTGTAGCATGTCCTGTGATAACAAGCTTCTGCTGCAACTAATTCGCGCGACACAAGGGCAAGAATCTTGCTGTCATTCTTTTGTGTAGCAATCTTTCTGATAGAGCTATCTGCACGCATATCTCGGTATTGTCCTAAAGGCTCACGATTCCTTGTACCCTTGAAATATTTTGGCTTTTCACAAAAAATACAAATGCGCTTGTATGTTTTGGAAATATTGGAAGATCCTCGAATAGGGACTCTCCTAGCCACTTGTTCCTGGTGAGTCTGGCTATTGGATGATTGCTGGGATAATTTATCTAATACATTTTTCATTGTAAAAATGCTTCGACACTTACGATGGTAGTAAATGAGCGAAACTTCTCCGTCTCTTAAAGACTTCGAAAGTTGTACGATTTCTTGGTGATTTCGAATCTGTGCTGCACGTAGCAAGGTTTTCCACGACTCCTCGTCTTTAGGATTAACTAAATCACTGCTATCGTCGGTACAGTGAATGATCCACTTCTTCTTGCAGAAACGTTTGACTGCATTTGACTCCTCAGCATCATCAACACTCCTTCTCTGAGATGAGGACCTTTTTTGTATCAGATTTTTCAGCATTTAAGTTGCAATGCAAGTGCAATAAACAGGGACATAACAGCACATACGGTATATTATAATTTACGAAAGTCTGGACTTCCAAAAGTTTTTTTTTTCATAGCGGTGCCATGATTTGGAATGAGTTACCACAAAAAAACATACGAAGAATAACATCGCTATGTCAATTCAAAAGGGAAGTAAACCAGTTAGCTTTCTAGTTTTCTGTTTCCCAGCACAGGGCAATTATGTAAGCCATTCAGGTGTATGTAGTCTTTATATCCTTTTTACTTCGCTTAACCTTCTCAGACTGATGATTTTATCGTGTTTAAATAAACCATATGTATCTATGTATTAAAAATTGGCATATCATATTGAGTTTTCATTAGCGAATAAGCGATAATTCAAATAATGTTGACTGCAACAGGTTGATCATTCCTAAAATTAGATTATATTTCAAAATTTATAAATATATAAACAGATGTTTATGATTGATATGAGCAAAACACATATCGGATTATCGAAGGGAACATCTACAAGAACTGTAAGTATTTCCAAAATTCTGTTTATTAAGTCAAAAGTTCAAAGACTTTTGCCTCAAAAAGTGTTAGCGGTTTATTAACTAGATGATTTTGCTGACTTTTCTTGAAATTATTGCGTTTTACATGGTAAAATGGCTATTAAACCGGCAAATCAAGAAACCACTACCCTTGCCATGGTAGCCGCCATTTTGGATTTTACCCATAATGCAATTCGGACGTTACTTTTGAGTTTTCTTCGCTCTACTTTGGTTAAATTCAGAACAAATAATATTTTGGCGATAAAAAAACGCAACAAAAAACTTCTCATGTCTCTCATAATAAATTAAACTACAAAAAGATATAGTACATTTTAAGTGCACGTTTAGTATCCTCAAAGGTCATTTCCGGCACTTTTACATGAAAAAAATATCTTGAAAGCTACTCCTACAGAAAGGTTATCATACAAATTTTCAATCTCCACCTTATGTGCTATCAATTCGCAGCAATCATCCTTTGTCCCTCGAATTGGTCCCAAAATCACGATTGGCCCATGGACTAAATTGGTCGCTGGAGAAAATCCTGTGTACGGCACTTTTATTGGTCGGTGACATCCACACAACCAAAGCTCCAGGAAGTCATTATTGTAAAGTTTAAAGCATTTCAGTATCATATACTTAACCAGCACAGCAACATACCTGTTAGGCTGTTTAACAAGTGTGCACATGGTGTGGTTACTACTCCACGTCTGTGGTTTACTAAAGGTAAGGTTTTAGGGTAGTTTGAAAATAAGAATGTAGGATTTTTGTAAAAATGCATTGGAGCATTGTTGAATGGTCTACATAGCACAAGCCTGTGTTTCTATAGCCTCAACTACAGCATCACCACTTTTATTCCTTCTGAAAGTAATTCTCAAAAAAAGAGGCTAAAAACATGAGGTGTCAAAGCACTTATTCTAAAATATAAAAATAATTATGAACTAAAAGAAGTACACTCCCTAAATCAGGTTCAGAGGTATACAACAAACTATGTGAGACACTGAACAACTCTTCCTACTGAGAGGTGTAAAAAAAGCATCCCCTGTTCAGCAAAAGAGCTGCCTAGAAGGATATCACTCTGTTGTTAATCAGTTTGCACCAAAAATG